CTCATGGCATTTTCTACCTTGTTCAATGGGATCTATCTGCCTTGGCCTCCTCTCTGTTCCGAGAACAGCCCAACTTCTTCCCCATTTCCGTGCCTTTCTTTTATTTTTTCCTGCTCTTGGCCTAAGTCTTCCTCACACTTCAGATCTCAGCTTAAATAACACCACTTTGTCTAGAGAGTAACCCTATTTATTCTCTAGCACAGTAGTCTATTTCCATCATAGCAGTTACTGTTGATTATTTGTTGAACTAGTAAAATATTAAGTACCACAAGGGCAAGGACAGCATCTGTCTTATTCACCATGTTGTTCCCAGTGCCTTTAACAGGGCATAGCATGTAGTGTGCCCTCAATAAACATTCCGTCACCTTAGCCGGTTTGGCTCATATAAAATAATAAACAAGAGGTGGATAGAGCGTGGGCCTGTGGACTGAAGGGTCCCGGGTTCAATTCTGGTCAAGAGCACATGCTCGGATTGTGGGCTTGATCCCCAGTAGGGGGCGTGCAGGAGGCAGCCAATCAATGATTCTCATCATTGATATTTCTTTCTCTTTCTCCCTTCCTCTATGAAATCAATAAAAATATATTAAACAAAACAAAACAAAAAATATCCCATCAATAAGAGGGACTAGCCAGGTGTTTCTGATACTTCTGAAAATAAAAATTATTTTATGATTTTCACTTCTTGCCCCAGCCAGTTTGCCCAGTGGACAGAGTGTCAGCCTGTGGACTGAAGGGTCCCGGGTTCAATTCTGGTCAAGAGCACATGCTCGGATTGTGGGCTTGATCCCCAGTAGGGGGCGTGCAGGAGGCAGCCAATCAATGATTCTCATCATTGATATTTCTTTCTCTTTCTCCCTTCCTCTATGAAATCAATAAAAATATATTAAACAAAACAAAACAAAAAATATCCCATCAATAAGAGGGACTAGCCAGGTGTTCCTGATACTTCTGAAAATAAAATTTTACGATTTTCACTTCTTGCCCCAGCCAGTTTAGCCCAGTGGATAGAGTGTCAGCCTGTGGACTAAAGGGTCCCGGGTTCAATTCCAGCAAGGGCATGCACCTCAGTTGCAGGCTCCTGACTCTGGTCAGGACCATGCGGGAGGCAACCAATCTATGTGTCTCTCTCACATCGGTGTTTCTGTCTCTCCCTCTCCCTTCCATTCTTTCTAAAAATCAATGGAAAAAATATCCCTGAGTGAGGATTTAAAAAAAAAAAGTTAAAAAACACACCGACTTTCACTTCTTAAATCATTGAATTATAAATGAAACTTTAGAATTCTTCTTGTTAAAAATTGAGGTATGAGGTATCAAAAGAATGCATAATTCTGTTTTGTCAACTAGACTTTGGAATAAATAAATGATCAATTCATAAACACATTACTTAATAATTATTTAAAAGTAGCTATTTATAAGGAAAATAATGGTGACTTAATACTAGTCACTTGTTTTGTTGATTTTATAGCAGCTAAATGTTTCAGAGTACCCAGGGCTCTTATGCGGTGGGCTAAAAACTCAACTCGCTCAATCAAAACTATTCCTGCCTGCAGTTTAGACCAGCCTAAGGCTAAAAAGAGCTTCACAGGGATCTTGTGAACCACTCTTTCTCTTAAGAATACTAATGTCAACAAACTATACTCACTTTAAAAAAAGGAATTATTTAAATAGAAATAATCCATTCCCACAAAACAGAACTATAAGAACTGGGGATGTGTGAGATGATACATGTTAACTTAAACTTACTGTGGTAATCATGTAAGTCAAATCATTTTGCTGTACACCATAACATATAAAGTGATATGTCAATATATCTCAATAAAACTGGGAAAAATGTATTTAACCTTACAATCCATCAAAAGTATGCACATAAAAATAATGAAATCTCCTATTTTTCGCCCTTCCCCCTACCAAAAAAAAAAAAAAGGAAAGTAATGAAATCTCCTATTTCTCGCCCTTCCCCCTACAAAAAAAAAAAAAAAAGGAAAGAAAGGAAGAAAGGAAGAGGAATGTAGATGTAGAGCCAAAGGAATTCTCATAGGCTGCTGCTAGGAAGATAAACTGACAACCACTTTGGGGAATATGACAAGATAATGATTTCTTACTTGACTGCCTCGTAAATATTGTTAGAGGTATGTCCTGACAAGGCATCATGTAAGTTGCGTATAAAATAATCTCTGTATTCTTCAGGAAGGGCCATAAATGTTCCACCCATCACAATAAACTCCACTTTATCCACACTGTGACCAAGCTGTTTCAACTGAAAGACATAAATTGATCAACATTAAAAGGATACAATCACTACCCTAAGAGAGTACTGCAAATTTCTAATTTCATTTTGCAGTGTTTTCATCAGTATAGTTTAAAAATGAGAAGCAATTAAACATACTTAGCAAGTCTGCAGATTAAAAAAAAGAGACTCCAGATTCTGAAATAAAAAAAATAGTATAGCTCAAATAAGGAGGGAGAGAATTAAAAACAATAAACAAGAAGCTTGACGTTAATACCTACAGAGTTGAGTAGAAATTTTAAAAACACATAGAATATAAACTAGAAATCAGTAAAGGCAAATATAAGCAACTATTTATCAATCATGTATTTTATGCCAGGCTTTGTGGTAAGCTTTGGGGACAAAGGAGATAATTCATGCAACATAATCAGGACTTGATGCAAATGAAAGAAAAGGAACACTAGATTAGAAACAGAAATTAAGAAAGCAGTTGTAAATTAAAACTTTAAAGTTTTATATCAATTGTGAGGACTCTGGACATAGGTGGAACCTCAAGCCTGCTTTCCGGAAGGAAAATAAAAATCTGATTGATAAAATATGAAATACAATGCCTCTACTATTAGAGATGCAAATGGTACAGATCTTTGATTTTATCAACCACAATAGCCAAGATTCTAAATTTCAAAAACAAATATTTAAATTTCTTGCCATATCTTAGGCTTGAAAAAAACTGGATTAAGTTGCTACCAAATTATGAATTCAAATGAATGTACTAAGTAAAGGATGTGTATGCTTAATATCTGTTTCTGAAAATGGCAAATAATTTATACATATATACATCTTTATGTATGTATACATATTTACATATCCATATGCACAAATATATCATATGCATATATCTCTTAAATATATATAAGTATGTTTATATATATGCATTTAAATCAAGACTAAAAGAACATTCTATATGTCTATGGTTTGCAAGGGATACACAACAAAATCATCCTGATATCTTTTTCAGAATATCTTGGCAGGACCCCACACCAGACGTAAGCAGAACATCCAGAGTAAGCAGAACATCCAGAGGTAAAGATCTGGCTCATGTTTTGGAAAAGCTGTGATGATTCTAGTAATTTATAGTTAAAAAAAAAAAAAAAATCACTGCTCTATGGTAGTTTCTAAATCTTTTAAAACCCATGCTCCTTTATGGTAAACAAAAACATTTCACACAGCATTAAAACATTTTAAATAAATTAAATATAAATATCATGGCTAAAAAGGAAATCCAAGCAATGGTCAGTTTAGAACATGCTTTTCCAAACTTCGCAGGCTCCCTGCCCCCAGCGGGGTCCTCTCCTATAGCTGACCATCCCGATCCACACATGCTTGGGTGACAGTGAAGTGAAAATCAGAACCGGATGGTCTTCACTAACAGTGACAGTTAGATAAACACAGAGTGACTTACTGACTATGGTATATATTACTTTCCAGTTGACATTTTGTGGTTGCCCTACTAGATGTTATTATAAAAACTATACACAGTGTTCACATTTTTTTTAATTGGACAAGTTTAAAATTGTAAAATCTGTAAAAATAAAACTGTATTAATGTTCAGATTTCCTGAACAGAGCATGGCCATTTACAAAGTTCTTGTTTTCAATCAGCTATACTGAGGTATAATTTACACACAATTAACTTTAAGGATAAATTGGATGAGTCTGGATAAATGTTTGAAGTTGTATAACCACCATGACAATCATGATACAGTACGATTCCACAGCCCCCAGTGTTCCTCACATCCCTTTGCAGTCAATACCCTATTCCTACTCCTCCAAAAAGCACAAAACTCATGTGGCCTAGGAAAGCTAAACTTCAATCCATCCACCTAATGCCTAAGTGTTTCCACACATCTACATCCTGTAAGTTTCATACCATAAATGGCTTCCTACAAATTGAAATCTATAGAATACAAAACGTTTAAAGAAAACAATAGTCTCTAAAGGAAGTGATAGTTCTGATTTTCTAGGTATTGCAAAATAGTCTCCCTCCCTCAGATGGATAGTAAAAACTTACAATGGGGAAAAATACTCTTTTAGGGCTTATTCCAGGTACAACTCAAATCAAGAAATAATACCTCTAAGTATAAAAATCTAATTTAAAACTGCTTTTTAGAAACTTACCTGCTCTATGCGGTGTCTTGTCTGTAGATAAGGATCGTATCTTGCACGAATAGCTCGCATGGAGGTTGGCTGAGAAAAAAAAGAGAAAAAGATTCTGTTATGCCCATGCTAAATTAAAAATAAAAAATGGTTTCAAAGGGTGTATTAAAAATAAAATTCTCCTGTGCTCCTTTCTTCCTTTCTCAGTCTTCAAAATAATGTCCTGTAGCATCTGGCTAGTCTCCACCCCCACTGTCATGAGTATCTGAACAGCAGGGCGTCTTCTTAGATCATATTTATCTTTGTATCACCACTTATAGAAACAACACAAATTGTTATACTACTCACAGACATAGATGTGCATACATATTCAAAAGTTATTTGGTAAAATAACCTTCAAATGATGGCTTAACAAAAAAGACTTTATGTTTTTATACAATGGAATATTCTACAACCAAGAAACAACATACTAATATGTTTTCTAAAATATATTGCTAAATGAAAAAAACAAGGTGCAAGGTTTTGATACAGTAGCTTATATGTAAAAAAGTAGGATAAAGAATAACTATGTGCTTATATATCCATATAATATCTTTAAAGGATATACAGGAAAGATAATACTGGGAGTGGAGGGGGCTGGAGCAGAAACGGACAAGTAGGGGACAAGAGGAACAAGGAACTTTTTCATTGAATAATTCCTTTTGTATTTTCAAAAATCTGAACTATGAAAGACAGGTAAAAAATTAAAAAAAAACATACTAGTGTGTATGTATATGTGTGTATGTATATATATATGTGTGTGTGTGTGTGTGTGTGTATATGAAAAAGGCACCTAGTTAGCTGGCTACTGACCTCCCTGAAGAGGCTGACTGCTTCAAAAGCCTGCTCACTGGTCTCCTCTCTCATTCTTGCCCCACTCTAATCCTTTGTTACCATCAAATCATCTTTTAAAAAACTATACTGGACTATATCATTCCTTTAAATCTTTTTTATTATTGTTAATCCTCATTGGAGGATATTTTTTTCCTCCAATGATTCTTTGAGAGAGGAAGAAAGGGGGGTCGGGGGAGAGGGGGGAGAAAGAAAGAGAGACAGAGAGAGAGAAACATCAATGTGTTTCACCCTCGACTGGAGTGGAGGGGGCTGGAGCAGAAACGGACAAGTAGGGGACAAGAGGAACAAGGAACTTTTTCATTGAATAATTCCTTTTGTATTTTCAAAAATCTGAACTATGAAAGACAGGTAAAAAATTTAAAAAAACATACTAGTGTGTATGTATATGTGTGTATGTATATATATATGTGTGTGTGTGTGTGTGTGTGTATATGAAAAAGGCACCTAGTTAGCTGGCTACTGACCTCCCTGAAGAGGCTGACTGCTTCAAAAGCCTGCTCACTGGTCTCCTCTCTCATTCTTGCCCCACTCTAATCCTTTGTTACCATCAAATCATCTTTTAAAAAACTATACTGGACTATATCATTCCTTTAAATCTTTTTTATTATTGTTAATCCTCATTGGAGGATATTTTTTTCCTCCAATGATTCTTTGAGAGAGGAAGAAAGGGGGGTCGGGGGAGAGGGGGGAGAAAGAAAGAGAGACAGAGAGAGAGAAACATCAATGTGTTTCACCCTCGACTGGGCCAGAATTGAACCTACAACTCAGGTACGTGCCCTTGACCGGGAATTGAACTAGAACCCGAGAACCTTCGGTATACAGGCCAAATGCTCTAAACACTTAGCATCACCAACCAGGGCGATTCCTTTAAATCTTAATGACTTCTCATGTCACCTATAATAAAATCCAAACTCCTTGTCCTGGCTTACAAGTCACTATGATATCTGTCTCCCCAAACTCATTCTTCCTCTTACCCTCTATGCTCCAGAACATCCCACCGTCATTCCTAACATGGCTCCTTGTTCTAGCTATTCTCTCTGCTGGAAATGCTCGTTGCTGAAATTCTTGAAATGCCCCTTCCTGTCATCAGGACTCAGTTAAAGCATCACCTGCTCAGAGAATCCCTTCCTAACACCACAGCTAAATTACCCACCCAGCGATAATTTACAATTTCACTTCTCTGTTTAGCATTTACTAGTACCTGACATTTTTTTCTTGTTTGCTTCTTTATTGTCTATCTCCCACTATTAGAATGTAAATTCCAAAAGACAAGGAACCTTGTCAGTTTTTCCACTGCTGGACACACAGATAGTACAATGTAGTGGTGAGAATCCAATGCTTAGCTCTGTCACTGACTTGCAGTGAGTCTTTGAGCCAGTTGTTTAAGGCTTGTGTTTCCTTATCCATAAAACCAGGCTAATAGTAGCATCTACCTTCAAAATGCTGCTGGTAAGATTTAAAGTCATAAAATGCTTGTCTGACATATATTAATAATAAATGCTTCCATAAGTATTTCTCCAATGACTAGAAAAATATATGTAGTCAGGAAAAAAATTACCTTTGTAATCAGGAAAAAATAAAAATTTTAAGACAGCTAGTACTTGTAAAAGCACACACAGGCAAAGTATGATGTAACATTTCCTCAGGACAGCTTCACATTACTTTACCTCATATCCAGTATAAGACTGGGTTGAATACTCAAAATCTGAATCAGGTCCACCAGGGCAGTATCTGCCAATAAAACAGAAGAATGAAGATGTCAGATACAAAACGTAGTTCAACAGTCGAGATCAAATATTGCTGTCTCCATAAAATCCAGATAACAAATTTCACTTTTAAATCCTAAGAGGAAAGTTTACCTTTGCAGTGTCTATAAATAATATTTTCTACTAACAAGTAAACGAGTTGAACATATAAGGGAACAATATTACAATCATTTTCAGAATTCTGCCATCACTATTATTTCAAAGATTTAAGATTTTAGGGGCAAATAACAGAACCTAAGTTTTCCTAACTTTGGAATGATATTCAGAGTGCTCTCTTGGTAACTACACTTAACAATATCACTCACCCATTTAATCTTTTTACTTGGAATCATGCATATTCTTCTGCTAATTTTTCCAATTATCTAAATTTTAAAAGCTTAAAGGTTATTTATAAAAATAACTTTATTTTTATACTTTTCTGACCCAAATTCATTTAAAATTTCTGACATTTGGAATTTCCATGTTTCATTTATTGCGCTAACAGAACTGTTTACTGAAATTAACAGAATTTATACTGTTCTGAGTTCTATAACCTATGTATTTTTTATTGCATATTGTAACAAATTAAAATCTTTGTTTCATTTTTAAAACAAAATATCCTATCAATGGTTGCTGTTTCAAAGAACTAACTTATAAATCTATTAAATCAAAGTTTTAAATATTACCAGCATGCACTGGTTAAGGCTCTAGGGGACGTATTAATTGAATTAAAATATATACACACACAACTTATCAAAATCATCATACTTACACACAAATATTTCCTGTAAAACTAATGTGTGGACATCTGTGGGGTTTGCACATCACAGCTACAACAGCAATCTATAAAAGAAAGGTTAATATAAAACTATTATGAAGGAATTGACAGAAAATCCCGGAGAAAGGCTATATCTCAGAAAAAGGGAGCGGAATGGAAGCAGAGAGGCACAAGGGCTTCACAGGTATTGGTAATGCTGTATTTCTGAAGCTGAGCAGTGGGTACAAGGGTGATCTCTTTTCAATGTTGTTTGAAAATAACATTGATCTCTCTAAAATGCACATATGCATTGTATATATTAGTTTGTATTAGACTTTACAATAAATTAAGTAAAAAATAAGAAATAACTTTTAAAGTCACAGTGATTCTTATTCTCTCTGATTTGTTTTACTAAAATAGCCTAGGAGAAAAAAACTACTTTATGCAATTCTACACAATTACATCTAAAGTCCTTGTGGACACACTAGATCTCAATATGTAGAGCAGAGACAATTAAACTAGGAGCTAGACTTCACAGTGTGTGCAAAATATTCTCAGAGGGGTCTTTCAGAGCCCAAGTTGGGTGAGTGAAGAGAGTAATGCTTGAGAAAGACAGGGATGGTGGAAATAGGAGACTGGTTACATATAGGAGTGGTTACTCAAATAAAGGCACACACTAAAGTAAATACAAGCCAGGTTTCTTACTGTCAGAGAAGAAAGTTACAAATATGGAAAGGAAGAGAAATAAAATGAACTCTGTGTGCTGGATAGAATTGAAGGTACTATTGTGAACTCATAGTTTTCAACAGACTGATATACAAATAAATATGGAAGCAAATGTGTTATGTATATGTGTGTGCATGTATGTATGTGTATATATTTCCTAGCTTGATCCACTGAGAGGGTCTGGAAGCAGCAACACCCTAATAGCATACCTAGAGCTCAGATCTTGGCCTCTAAATGCCCTTCTCTACTAAAAGGAACCAGGACTCCTGAGAGAAAAGGCTGATTCCAGGGCCCGGGCAAAGAAAGTACAAGAGGAGCCTGGAACATTTTATTATGACAGAAAGCTAAAAACTGCTCAAAGAATGATGGGGACATTTTTTTTAAAAAAAGACAGAAATCAGGTTGAAAGGGCTCCCACTGGTCAAACCTGGGATAATTTGTGCATCAAAATAATGATTATAACCCACCTAATAAGAAACCATGAATCCACTCATACAAACATATGAATAAGTAAATTGGAAGTCTGATGAGGAACAGGAGGATATTTACATAATATTTACAAAAATACTTTACCACACAAAACTTCCTAATTATAAAGTGGAAAAGAATAACTCTACAGAGGAGAAGTGTGGCAGACATCAATGACAAAACAAAATGAAATTATGCCCCCTGATGGGATGCAGTAATACAGAATCACTTCTGTTAATGCTCCTGCCAAAGACACATGACCTGAATCTAATTATGAAGAAACATCTGATTAAACCAAATTGAGGAACATGCTACAGAATAACTTGCCTGACATCCTCAAGTGTCAAAGTAATGAAATCAAAGAAATACAGCAGTGTCCAGACTGAAGAGACATGACAACTAAATGCAACATGTAATTCTGAACTGGGTCCTGTAGGTCATTCTTGAAACAGCTGGTGAGACTTGAATGAGGTCTGAGGATTAGACATCAGTCATGTATCAGTGTTAAATTCCTGACTTGGATGGCTGTATTGCGGCAATGTACAAAAATGTCCTAACTTGTAGGAAATATGCACTAGAGTATTCAAAGGCTTGAGTTTCACAACTTACTTTTAAATGGCTGGGGGAGGGGAGGAATGTTCTTTGTACTGGCCTTTCGACTTTTCTGTAAGCTTGTGATTATTTTCCATAATAAAAATTATTAAAATTTAATGTAAAACATTCAATAATGATCTCTAGAGCAGTGGTTCTCAACCTTGGCTGCACATTAGAATCACCTGGGAATCTTTTTAAAATCCTGATTTCTGGGCCTCATCCTCCGGAAATTCTGTTTCTTTGTTATGGGGTGAGTGGCCCCACCCCATAACAAAGAAACAGAATTTCCGGAGGATGAGGCCCAGAAATCAGGATTTTAAAAAGACTCCCAGGTGATTCTAATGTGCAGCCAAGGTTGAGAACCACTGATCTAG